AAAAAAAAAAAAAAAATTAGCCCTTGTTTAATATTTGAAAAAGGTAAACCGATGACGATAAATGCAGTAAATTTGGTGTCTGACAAAGTAATAAATTACTATAATAATAATAATAATATTATTTTGCAAGCTTTATTATTTGCAATCACTGCTTCAGCAAAATTGTTTGTACAACTGTAAATTTTATTAGTTTGAGCAGCACTGAACAAAATTATTATGTTTTTACATAAAAAAAGTGTAATGTTGAAAATTAAATTTTGAGCCTTTCAGACATTAACTTTTAGGCAAAACTTATTTATTCGCTTTTACAGTTTGTCACTATACTTTTTTTCTTAACATGTAAAAAAAAAATTTGAATGTAATTTTGACTTGAAATTGAATCTTCTAAACTACTGTTACCTGTCAAATTTAGGACAGTATATATCTCTCAACTCAATTATTCTTGTTTTTTAGTAAAATGTGTTATGCTTAAAATAATCAGAAAAGCGCTAGTCGAAATTGTTATTAGAGATTTGATTGAAGATTTCATACAGAAAACAACAGAAAATAATATAAACGACAAAAGCAAAATATATTTTTGCTCTCAAAATTTTTTTGCTAAAAAATTTCTACTGTAAACGTAACAAGTAAAGTAATTAGAAATTTTTAGCAACTAGTAAAAAATAATTTTTACGCAACGAACTATAGTTTAAATAAGTTTTAAAATAACTAATTGAAAATTTTCTGAGTCAAAATGAAACAACAATAAGGTAAAAAATTTTAACTTTTTTAAACAGTAATTTATAGCAAAACTTAAGTTTTCACTTTAGTGGGGTTTTTTTTTGGTTTACTGCAATATTTAACTGTAGGAAACAGTGCAAGATAAATTTAAAAAATAAATACTACAAAAGGGGTATCAGTTGATTGTTGGATAAACGAGATTAGTAATGCAAATTAGTTACTTCTTTCATTTCTTTAATCTTTTTTGATCACTACGGTATTTTAAAAGATATTTTTTTTGATCAATAAAAGTAAAATACGTATTTTGTAGATCAGTAAAATTTTATTCCTAAAAGTAGCAGTTTTACCTCTAAAAGTAGCAGTTTTACCTCATAATCACTCTTCAGGAGAGAGTTTTTACAATTTTTTGCAGTTTACAGAAAAAAATTTTTTTTTTATCGTAAGCAGAAAATGAAACATTATTTATCAACAAAAGGTTAGTCTTTTTTTTTCTTTTACTGTATACAATTTAACCTTTCAAACTTCTTCTGGAATTATTGCAATTTCCACTAATATTTTTTATTGGAAAAATGCCAACTGCAGTGCATTTTTTACAATGTAATCTTATTGTAAATTCTCCGGTTAAAAACTGCTGAACAAATGCGTAAAGAATAATTTCAAGCCCGAAATGTTGGGAAAAAAATTCACTGTAAAAAAAAATTATTTGTAGAGAATCAAAAAGCATAGAAGTTTTAAAATATATGTTTATGAAATTAAGATTTTATCCAACCTTTATAAGTATTTCCACGTCTTTTACACATTACAGTAGCGCAATAAAAGTGCATTTGAAAACTGTTTTTTGTTAACTGCTGAAATTGAACTTTGTGAAGAGCTCTATAAATAACTCAAAAATAAAAAAAATAAACTTTTGCGTTTTTTGCAGAGCACTACAAAAAAAGAGTTTTTGAGGCAGCAAATGGACATCAGAAGCAGTTAGTTTGAAGAAGAAAATAACTGTAATTGGCTTGAAACAAATCATTAAAAAAATTAAAATATTTTCATCTAGATAAGATCATTTGTCGTAATTTAAGCAGAGACACCTAATAATTACTTTGTTAATTTAGAAAATGTGACAAAACATTTGGGGCGTTTTACAGCGATCTCAAGAAGCATGTTTACCCTGAAATAGTAAATTACATATTGCTTATTTTAACCAATATTAGTTCGCAGCTATAGAACTGAAACCACAGAGGCGTAGCATCTATTACGACAACAAAATTGGAAATCACTGCAGCTTTTGAAGCTTATTATCTTAAAAGTTTAACTACAGATATCTGCACATATAGTTGTAAAAGTTGCTTTCATGTTTAAATTTAAATTTCTCGACATGAACAGTTGTGTCATAATTGAACAAAGCAGAAACAATATTTATTTCAAGCAAAAAACACTGTCTTAGGTATGCTAATAATGTAGCCCCATTTTGATAATAATTGCGGTGGCTATTGAAATACAACTGTATATCACAGGTTATAATCGCTTTCAAACTTGCAGAGCACCGAACACATACAGAAATGCTGATTTTTGGTCTAGCACAAAATGCACTGATAAATGTTGCACATGTACTTCCGAAATATTTGTTTGAGTTTATGAGATTTTACAAATTTTAAGCTAACTACTACAGTTTTAAATTTTTTGAAGATTGAATATATTTTTATCACTTTCGTTGAACCAAAACACTCTGTTAATTTGTTTTAAAAAAGTCTTTTATTTCTAAGCGTCGTCAAATTTATTAAATTTTTACGTATAAATAAACAGCATCGAGCGTTAATCCAATGCGTTATATTTTATTCAAAAGTAGTCATCAAAAAACAGCTACTGTTTATTGTTGAGCTTATAAGCAGATGAAGTACATACCGACAAAACTATCAGCTAAAGAAAACAAACTGACTGATAAGCAAAAATTATGTATTAGTCGGAAGAATTAATTTAGTTTTGAGAAGAACAGCATCACTGTGCTGTGTCTCTCGAAACACTTTTCCACCGCAGTTTTTCTTTTTTTCATAATCAGAATACAATTTGTACAATTATAAGAAAAAGTTTTGATTAAAAAAAAAGTTTGTTTTAAATTTTTTTGCAATTTATTATTGCTAAAAGCAACTAGATGCTACAAGTTATGATCAATTATTCTATTATCAGTGACAGAAAAGTTCTACCATCTGTTTGTTTTAGCGATTAAAACTGTCACCTGTTACTTCTCAAAGGTGCTCTTTCAAAATATAATCTCTGCACAGCAAAATCTGTATTTAACTGATTACAGAAAAGGAATAAATACAACAGTTTTTAGTCCCTAATTTTGTTTTAAACACTTTATAAATTGTCTAGTTTCGAAGCGGTTCTTAGCCAGTTCACTTTCCTGCATAAAATAACAACGAGTATTTACAGATGGATAAATACGAGGATGACGAGCGTTCTGAACAATCGGACAGAGAAGATTCAGACAGCAGTTTTGGCGATTCAGACGATAGGCCAGATTCCGAAACAGGAACAGCAAAAGACTTTGCGGTATTTAAAAAATTTAATTTAGAAGATACAATAAAATAAATGAAATGTTCGCATTGAAGCAAAATAATGTAAGCTTGTCTGCATTTGAGACACTTGAGAGCAGCCTAAACAAGAAATAATCCAGTTTAAGCGTTTAAGATAAAAAACTGTATTTTTTACATGCTCTTAAAAACCACAATTTAACAGGTTATCCTGACAATGAGTTTACCGATGTTGAAATTAAAAATAATAGACAAAAGGTAAAAATTGTTCTAGAAAAATAAGATTATATTTTAATATTGTATATTTTTGTAGTTTTTGGTTTGTAATTAAAAATGACTGAAAAAACACTTCATTTTTAATACTGTTCAGGAAATGACGACAGACAGCGAATCGTTTGATCAACACTTTGATGACGAAAAATTTTTGCAGGAAGAGGAAACTAACAACGATTTGTTAGATCTAACAATTGTATGTTTTGGCAAAAAAAATGCTTTAATTTTACTTTTGAATTTGAAAATTTCGACTTAAAAAGTCTGATGTTGCAATTTAGTGGCGAAAATTATTTTTTAAAAAATTTTGGACAAAAAAAAATTTAAGCACTAAAAAATTTGAATTAATTTCTATGGTATTAAAAAACATTACTGTCATCAAATTTTTAGTTAAGTGCACTAATGCACTTTTAAAAGTCACATTAAAAAATCGAACTTTTATCACATAATTTTTGAGAGTATATTAGCGAAATAACTAAAGACGTGATGTGCAGAATATGACACTATAAAATTCTTGCAGATCTGAAAAAAAAAACAAAAACTTGTATTTTGACGTCGTTCATATTATCCTGAAAGCTAAAAGAGTATAAAGCGTACAACATAACCAGTCATATTTCAGTTTAGAAATTTCAACTGAAGTTATTAAGCTGTATTTTAAATCGCAGAAAAAGATTGGAACATGGTTACAGAGTAGTAGTAAGAAATAAATAGGTTAATGATGTAAAAGACGACTTTTGAACAGATTAAAAAGATCAGCTGTTAAAAAACCATAAAGTAATATATCTTGCCCTTTTAGGATACTAGTGCAAGTTTGAAGGCAGAAAAAAATTTTGAACTAGAAAGTCATTCAAATGAAATTTTGGTCTACGATAGCGCGGATGAACACAGAGAGGTAAATCTTGATAACAACAGTCAGATAACTTTTTCTACTATGCAGTTCACTTTATTTTACCGTTACTATACAATTACTTTAAACTTCTATTGAATCTAGTCTATTTCTTAAAAGCGATTTTTACTCAATTCATAAATTTTTGGATTTTAATTGTCTTCAAGACGAGGTATCTACTACTTTATATTTCTATAGTAATGCTTAGTGGTAACTAACTATTTAGGTACAACTATTAAGAATATTTTTTTTTGTACCTTCTGTACTACGTCCCCTTTTATTTCAAACTATGTGTAGAAAAACTTTTTTTGAAATTTGAGTACAATACTTTATTTGAGGATATGGAATTGCTTGACCCTACTCATATAGAACAATTTCACACAGTAATACCGCTGGAAAAACAAAGAGACAATGACGACTTATTAGATGAGGAATACATCGAACAACGAAGTACAGAAAAGGACCTAGAAGAAGAAGTAGAAGATTTTTTGCAGTCAAAACATCAAAATTTTTCAAAATACTCAACTTCTTTCATTTATAGCAAAATTTGTCACCCGAGGTATCGTTAGCAAATCGTCCTAAAAGAGCAGAACGTACAACAAAAGAGACGACAATACTTAATGAGCAAACCAGCCAAAAGGTGGCATTACCTAAATTATAATAATTCTGTAACTTAAATGGTGTTAAAAATGAATGAATAAAATAAAAAAAAAAAACAGGAATGAGCAAAGCTAAGTATATAGTGTAGAAAAATAGTAAAGTCAAATTATTTATCGTGCTTAAGGAGCCACCAGCAGAAGAAGCATTATTGGAGGATTTACTGTCAAACAGCCACTCAGTAATATCTCTGGCAACACAGGAAGATGCTGATGACATACTAGACCAAACTTCTGTCGGCTGGGAACACACGGTAGAAATGGCAAAATCAAACTTTAGATTCATATGTAGCATAATAAAAAAAAACGCTTTTTTTTGCAGATCTTGTCGCACACTGCAGCAGATGAAAAGAGTGCAAAGAAGACACAAGGAAAAAATATAGGCTCAAAGCTAAAAAATAATTTTTCGGTACTGTTTTTCAAGAACAATTTGAAAAGTTAAAAATCAATCAATGAAATTTCACCCTTTCAAAAATTTTGCAGCCTGACCACCTAAAAACAGCCTAACTTTAAAGTTTAAGACTTCTCGTAATAATTATAAAACACAAGCGCAAAATCAGAAACAATACAGCAAAATATGAGAGCAATCTATCGATTAGAAAGACCATTTAAAAAATTTTAAATATTTTCTAGTACTTTTTATACCACTTAACATTACATAGCTTGAAATAGTTAACCAAAAATATCAAATTTATTAAAGGAACAAATATTTTCCTACAAATTATTACGCTTGAAATAAATGTTAGAAACTCAGCTGGTAAGACAAAAGTGACAACTTGAGATTAATGTGTACCTAAACATTTTCTTCCGTACATTTCAGCAATCGGCACTGCACAACTTTTCGCTGAAAGAGCAATTTGACACAGCGATATCAGTGAGAAGACAAAGCAGCGAAGAAGAAATTATGCCGATACGTGCCACTCAACACGATTCAATCAGACCAACGCAAAAAAAGGCAAAATATTTTCCACACTTTGAAGTTAATACCGCTGAAATACCAAAAGCTTTTTTCTTCAGCACGGTACATTATCCAACAAGCAATTAGAAAACAGTAAAAAAGAAGCACATCTAGTTGAAAAAGATGGCGACAGTTCTACAGTAATATTTTTTTTTATTTATTACAGATATAATAAAATATTTATTATAAATTCTTACAAGAGTTTAAATCTGTTTTTTTTTTCACTAAGATTAGAAAAACCTCCAAAAAAGTGTCTCTCATGCGATAAAAAACTGAGGTCGAGAAGTAATACACGAAGAAGAGGCAATAAAGAAGAAGCAAATCATTCTTAACTGTGAAATGTCGTCTTGGTGCTGAATATTTTTGGAAGCAGAAATAACGCTTAAATCTTAAAATTTACGAAAATAATCATGATGAATTCTAAATACCTTCCTTAACCACTTGACGCGGTCATTTTGCTTCTACTAAATTTAGTCACGTCGTTTTCTCTAGATTAAAAATTTGAAAAGAGAAAAATACAAAATAAGAAGAGCAAGTTTTACCCAAAAAAAATTCTCTTTTTCTTTTATTAGGAATAAAAAGTTACTGCAAATTATTTCTAAAACGAATAAAAACCAAACGATTTGAACAACAAAGTTAATTACAAAATTACTGCAACTTAATACGACATTAGAAGAAACAATACAGCTTCTTTAAACACTAAAAAAACAGAAATAAAAGTAAACGGCGTAAATTTATTTTTATGTTATTACTAAAGTTTACTTAAACTAATCCGTCTCTAAACAAACAGTATTTTTAAAGGTACCTCTCGATGCCGATGTATTAATGGTCAAGCAAAAGCAGAAAAAGAGTTGTTTAAAACATGAACATCTAGAAGAAACTTATTCGACAGAAACAGTGAAGAAAAAGGTTGATAGCTTAGCATCTATTAACATTTCTAAATTTACATAACTAATTTTTCATTAACGGTATACTTTTTCTTTAATGCTTTATAAGCAGATCATTCTTAAACAGTGAAGTGTTTGGTGGAAAAGGATTCAAGCGCTAAAAGTAGCTCGAGAGTAACAGCTTTCAAAAAAAACTAGTTTTTACTACAGCAGTATGAATATAAGACTAGCTTAAGATATCAGAAGTATGCAGACAAGAAAAAAGACAATCTGGGCTTCTTCCTGTGCACTTTAAGATTGATAAAATTTAATTTTTTAGAAGCCAGTAATGCAAGGTATATCACAAATTCCAATCTTCAGCACTGTAGTGCCAGCGGTGAAACAGCGAGATAAGGATATTCTTGCGAAAAAAAAGCATATCAACGACACCTGTTCATCAGAAGTAGTACAAAATGAGGCAAAGATTCCTGCAATTACCAGCGTTTCTATTTGCACAAGTAAAAATACTTAACTCTTTCCTTACAGAATGCACTGCCATCTACTCTATTACCAGTGGATCGCTCCAAAAAGTTACGGCGTTCAGTTGAAGACGAGCCTACTATGAAAGTTAAAAGCAGTTCTAAAGTAAGCATTTTTTAGAAGAACACCCTTTACACAACGGTAAAGCACAAGACCATATTACTTTTGATCCCTAAAAGCATGCGAACAAAAAAAACCGATACGCATTTGTTTGCAAAGTTTAAGAATAAGAAGCACTTAAGCCAGCTGAACTGAATCTTTTAGAATTTGCTTCTGCAAGGTATATCACAAATTCATTCTTTCACTGCAGCAGTATCGTTCATCAGACATCGCAACAAAGATAATTCCTCAAAGCAAAAGCACTGCAAAGAAACTGACTTGACGAAAGCAGTAAAAGACAAGGTATAGAAATTTCACCACTTCTGCAAAGA